TGTTTACATTGTTTTGGCTAACAATCAATCGATTTTAATTTTGATTTCTGTGTCACACAGTGTTGCATCGAAACATCGAAAAATCATAACTTCTTCATACAAGGTCAAATTTAGGCGTTCTTTATATGCATATTCTCGGAATTACGCTTACTACGACTGTCATTTAGATTGTTTAGGCGGATAAGAAACATATCTCTTATTCATATTTTATGACACTTTATTTTATAGTACTAAACGCGGAACTTCACGAAGTCGGATTTGAGCGTTCTTTATACCTACAGAGTCGTCATCACGACTGCTACAACTTTGGTGATGATTTCTTTGGCTAAAAATATAATATAATTCTACTTCGAATTTTATAAACAAATGTTTATATTAAATGCTACTATAAAGTGAAAATAGGGTGTTACAACTCTTCCCCACTTACAGAGATTTCGTCTCCGAAATCCTACTCCTAGCGCACTTTGAGATAACGTCTAAACACCATCTTACTAGGGCACTCGAGGTCAATCTAGGACCTAGGTAATTCATTAATTTCACTTATATGCACTTATTTGATTGTAGAACTTCGTTTTCTACCTGAAATCTATCCTCGAACTCCTTGCAAAGAATAGGAAAATGAGACTTTATTATTTAATTAAATCAAGGGAAATTAAATAATCTAATCATTTTTTAATGTGTATTTGAAAAACATTACCTAGTTTTTTTAATTTTTAATTTTTTTGCAAAAATAGGCAATTTGTCCAGAATGGGGTATCCAGGGCCAAGAAAAAACCATTTTTTGACTAATTCTAGAATGGCATTCTAGAATTACGACTAACATTCTGGATTTCAGACTAAAAATTCGGAATCCGAAAAAAAAAAACTGTGGAATGTCAAGAACATGTCCGAAATCCGAAGAACAATTCCGGAATCACATTCTTTCCTTTTGAAGAAATTTCTTTTTCTTTAAAAGATTTGTTAAGATATTCAGATCCTTAGTTTGAGTCTGGAATCACACGAGTGTTCATTAAATTCTTTCAAACCAAGGCTCTAAAAGCAACTTGTCATGTCCTGATTTTCATAACAAATTTTTCATTTGATTTGGTCAATTAAATCATAGTATAATTAAATTATGCGAAAAACATGATGCCAACGTGAGTGTATAGTCGAACCTTGCCCTTCTCACGATCCGAAAAAAGTATCTGAAATTATTTGTAATCAACTGGGTAGGCACGAAGCATAGTGATTTCTCCAAAATCCCATACATCACAATACATATACATGCATACATCGCGTATCTAGGCTCACAACACTTAAGTTGTTGTTGCTATCACCCCGCTCTTATGAATATCTAGGCTCACAACACTTAAGTTGTTGTTCCCATCAACTCATCCCTTGTGAATATCTAGACTCACAATGCTTAAGTTGTTGTTGTCATCAACTCACCCCTTGGCACTCAGCACAAAGCTGAAATGCCTGCATCTTGGCCTTCCGTACAAAGCGAGTGCGCCTTAGCCCTTAATAGATCATATTAACATATAAACAGATAATATTATAAGCAACAACCTAACAAGTCTATCGGTATCATAACATATCACAACCTAATAGCATACTACGACCTAACCATATCCTAGCACACATGAATACATATTTCAATATAAAGTATAGTGAGAAAACTCACCTGGACAATTACTCGGACAACTATCAGTTATCCAACTTGCGATCTAGCTAGTGGTTAACGCGTCTAACAAGTAGTAACCTATAATATTATAACTTATTAATATTTATGGTAGTCTATTATTAAAAGCTAGATCTTTTACTAATCCCAATGCATACTTCAAGTTCTATCAAATAAGGAATAACTAGGCAAGATCATATCGAAGGTATGATCCGTTTGGTATACAAATTATATAGTTTGGAAAATCCCCTTTAAACACCTCACTAGATCTGGCCTAGACATCACTCCCGTAAGTAGATCAATTAGTATTATGATTTGGAATTACTGATAAATCTTATTTATAAATTCATAATAATGGATATGTATATGGATATAAGTTACACTTAAAGCATAATAAGTGCAACTTAACTTATAGAGTTTCTAGCGAAAAGTTGGATAGTTCACAGGCAGAACTTTGACTATGAATGCTTCTTTTCGTTAGGATTTCTATCGCCACAGAGCCTTGCTAAAATGCTCACAAACTCAAAAATATTAGGCTCGAGATCAGAGTGGAGTTTCCAGAGAGAATTGGATGGTTTTTGTGTGTGAAATGAGTTGAATTCGGCACATATTTATAGGTTGCATCTGAAGGCACATCGAGCCGCGCTTTTGGCGACGTCTCCGTCCTTTGGAGGTGCCACGTGTCACGCTATCACTAGTGCCACGTTGCTTGGTCGGTGGAAGAAGTGGTTGTCGTCTTTGCCACATGGTGCCCCCTCATTTTGCCACGTCACCCCACACAGGTAATTTTTCAGATCTTCGGAAAATCATATATCTCTCATACGAGCTCCGTTATCGACGTTCTTTATATTCACGCATAGGTTATTTCGAGTACTACAACTTTCCTTTGGATCTCAACCGCTAATTCTCACTCTATTTTGAACTAATATTTTATAGAGTTTATATTGTTAAAGTTCGTGCAAAAATTATAACTCATTCATACAAAATCTGTTCTCATCTGTCTTTATATTTTCGGATTCGTATTTACGAGATTTTCGATTCTCTTTTACATTATTTTGGCTAACAATCAATCGATTTTATTTTCGATTTCTGTCTCGCACACTGTTACACCGATACTTCGAAAAATCATAACTTCTTCATACGAAGTTAGATTTAGGCGTTCTTTATATGCACATTCTCAGAATTATGATTACCATGACTTTCATTTAGATTGCTTAGGCTACTAAGCAGATTATCTATGATAAATATTTTACGACATAGTTTGCCATATAGGGTTGCATGCAAAATTTCAAAAAATCATAACTTTTTTATACGAAGTCAGATTTAGGTGTTCTTTATACCTACATAATCGTCATCACGACTACTACAACTTTCGTGATGACTTCTTTGGCTAAAAATGTAATATACTTCTACTTCGACTTTTTAAATAAACGTTTATATTAAATTATAATGTAAAGTGAAAACGCGGTGTTACAAAAACAATAACTAATTTATCTATATCTATCTAAAATATTATATAAATTCACTCTATTGTATTCGAGTGGTCACTTTATAAACACACATCGTGCTTAATTTATTAGAAATATTATAATACATTGTTTGAAAAAAATATATATACTACAACACATCGTTTGGAAAAATAAATACGAAAAAATACTACGTCATAGCAAAAAATAATTGAAAAAATTATACAAATCGTTATAATTTTATATTTCATAATTGAAATGTCATAAAATATTTAATAAAAATAATTAATTAGTAAATAAATAAAAATATTTGAAATTTAAAATTATTTAAGAGGATAAAAGGAAACATGACTAAAGTATGAAACGTTAAATATACAATATGTACTTCAATGTAGTTAATAAAAAAAAATATTAGTATTATACACTTCAAACATTTGTAATATGAATTTTTGGGAGCTTTTTCATAAGTTTTAAAAACAAAAGACTTTTGAAAATTAATAAACTATTGAATGACCATTTTCAAACCAAAGATTTTTCAATAAACTTCTTAATTAATAAGCATCTGTCAAGAATTTTTTTCAATAATTTGATGAGTCTTATAGGTTTTCAACAATAAGTAAATTATTTATTATTTTTCGTGGGTCTTATAAATAAGCAAATTCAAAAAACTTTTGCAGATAAAAATAAGCTTTTTATTTAAAGATTTTTTTTTATAGTTTATTTTAATTTTTTTTTTTTAAATTTTTTTTAACTTGTTTTTTTTATATATTTTTTTTTAACTTTAGAAAACTTTGTTATTGGGAATGTTAAGTCCTTAACGTTTATTTTCTTTTAATTGTTATTATCTTTTCTACATAATAAATAATAGAATTTGGATCAACTCTATTTTAAATTGTTTCGTATCAAATGATAGTCTTTTCTTTTAATTATTAGTATCCATATTCCTCATAGTTATGCAATAACTAAATTACTATAATACTATTAGAAAAATTAGCATTACAATTAATAAAAAGAACAATATTGATAGCAAAAGAACGAAAACTGTAATTTACTATTAAATCGATTACAATCACAAAATTTATTAAGTTTCAACTTTTATTATGTGTTTTCTAGATAATTTTAATTCATACGTTAGATATATAAAAAAAAAAAGATAAATTGCATTTCTGACTCTTACACGGTATCTATCAAAAATATCACGTAAAAGGCATATTTATATATTATAGAATTCCGATGAAAAAAGAAACATGTCCATGTTTTGTATTTTCCACCTTAATTTTATGAATGCACATACTTATTCATTTATTGGCTCAATTCCAAGAGTAAAATATATACAAATATTTAACTTGTATGTAACCAATTAAAATCAAATTAAACATTACTATTATTATAGTCCATTATATTAATCCTGTAAGGAAGGGAAAGTTAAAATTTTAGCTGGAAGTTGAAACTTCATTACTATTATATTAATTATATAACAAACGGAAAGATGAACTTTTAGCTGGAAGTTGAAACTTGAAAGGCCACGTTAATGTTTAAATGAAAAAAATTATAATATCACAATTTACTTCCAGTAAAGTTTTATATAAAAATATTTATTTACAAAACTATCTAAAAAATTATTATTTTTAATTTGGATAACGAGTTTTTTTTTTTTAATTTATTTATAAGTTTACTACATAAAAGTAAAATATATTTTAACAAAATTGAAACTGATTGAATAAATTTGACACTTTGACCAACCATAAATACCATTATTTTCAATTCTCCTCCCTCACAACCCTATATATACTCGTAACAAACACCAAACTTATCCGTTCATTACGAAAGGCAAACGCCAAATTCCCCATCTCTCTCCAATATCACCGACAACAATGGCCGATAATCAGAAGAATTCTGTATACACACATGAATTTCCGGCGATATGTAAATGTGAAACATTTGGCCGGGAATCACAAACTGTAGTCTCTGATTTGGACGGAACTTTGCTCCGGGGACGTAGTTCTTTTCCTTATTTCGCCCTTGTAGCATTTGAAGTTGGTGGAGTTTTAAGACTCCTCTTTTTGCTTCTAGCTTCTCCAATCGCCGGAATTCTCTACTACTTCATTTCAGAGTCTGCCGGTATCCGTGTTCTAATCTTTGCCACCTTTGCCGGAATGAAGGTTTCCGACATCGAATCGGTGGCGCGAGCAGTCTTGCCGAAGTTTTACTCCAGTGACCTGCACCCGGAGGCGTGGCGGGTGTTCTCGGCTTGTGGGAAGCGGTGTGTTTTGACGGCGAACCCGACGGTGATGGTGGAGCCGTTTCTGAAGGAGTTTTTGGGCGCCGATTTGGTGATGGGAACGGAGATCGATAGTTGGAATGGAAGAGCTACCGGACTTGTTAAAACTCCCGGAGTGCTCGTCGGAGTTAACAAAGCTGACGCGCTTTTGAAGGCTTTTGAAGACACGCCGCTACCGGAGTTGGCACTTGGTGACCGGAAAACCGACTACCCATACATGAAATTATGCAAGGTCTTATCTAAAACCCGAAAAAATGTTATTTTTCGAAATTTATCAGCAAATGAATACAGTCGTGATTTACTAATTTTAGCTAAATGGATTGATATCGGTCAAAATAGATATCATGTTTACGTTTACAACTAAAAAAAGAGTTTGAGGTTTGACTTTTATGTCAAAATAGACAAAACTCAAACGAATAGTTTGGTAGGGTCGCGTTGACTAGAAATTTAATGGAGTCATTTATGTCTTGATACTCAACTGTACTCCTCTTAAATTCAGGAAGGTTACATCGTACCACAAGACACGGAGGAAGTGAAGGCGGTGACGGTGGACAAGCTACCAAAACCAGTGGTGTTCCACGACGGCCGATTAGTCCAAAAGCCAACACCATTCAAAGCACTCATCATCATTCTTTGGATTCCGGTAGGGTTCTTCCTTGCATGTCTACGTATCGCCGCCGGTGCGCTCCTCCCCATGCCTTTAGTCTACTATGCTTTTTGGGTACTCGGAGTTCGAGTCACCATTAAAGGAACACAACCGCCGGCGGCCAAAAAATCAACCGGTCAAACCGGCGTTCTCTTCATCTGCTCCCACCGCACCCTACTCGACCCTATTTTTCTCTCCACCGCCCTCGGCCGCCCAATCCCGGCAGTCACATACTCTCTCTCTAGACTCTCGGAGATCATCTCTCCAATCAAAACCGTCCGGTTAACCAGGGACCGAACCAGCGATGCCAACATGATCAAGAAGCTTCTAGAAGAAGGAGATTTGGTGATATGCCCAGAAGGAACAACCTGTAGAGAACCATTTTTGCTCCGGTTTTCAGCTCTGTTTGCTGAACTCACTGACGAGTTGGTTCCCGTGGCGATGTCAAACAGGATGTGCATGTTTCACGGCACCACCGCAAGAGGGTGGAAAGCGATGGATCCGTTTTACTTTTTTATGAACCCTAGTCCAGCTTATGAAGTAACCTTCTTGAATAAGTTACCCTATGATTTAACTTGTGGAAATGGGAAGATAAGCCACGATGTTGCGAATTATATACAACGAATGATTGCTTCGACTTTGTCATACGAGTGTACCAATTTAACGAGGAAGGATAAGTACAAGATTTTGGCCGGAAATGATGGCACTGTGGCTACCGGAAAAACCTAGAGTTGCAGTGGAGAAAATCACGGTGTGCTGCTAGGTATGGGAATGATTAAATTATATGTTGTACCAAATTATATGTTAAAATTAAATTATTATCAATTTATTTGTTTGATCCATAACTAGATTTGGTGGATTTCTAAGGAATTGTAAACCATGCATGGTTGGCATTTAATTTAGTGACATGATCTGCTAAAGTTGATAGATGATGATCACCCTTGTATTTAAATTAACAAAAGTATCGGTTAAATATTTTTTTTTGTTGGGTAATGTAATGTGTAACTAGTCTATTTGGTAGGTAGAGACTTTCCACTTTAGATCCAAAGTATTATGGTTTACTTGGGCATTGATTATTTCTATTAACCAGATACTATTAATTTCTAACCAATAACTATCCGTTAATTTTTTTTATTTATAAAAATTAAAAGACTTGACAAAACTAGTTAATCGTAGCTAGAAATTGATAACCCGAAACATAAAGTTGTATTTTTATTTAAGGAAATGACTTAATATGTGTTGGAGCATGAAAATGCTCTATAATGATGAGTGTTTTTTAGGTTAGAATATTCTCTTGTATGAAAGCATATTCCCTCCACTAGTATATAAAGTGGAGGTGAGGGTCATTTTATTTTAAAAGTGCACTATGTAGACTTTAGAGAGAGAGAGAGAGAGAGAGAGAGAGAGAGAGAGAGAGTGTGTGTTTGGGTGGGGATTCTCCCCATCCATGAATGTTCTTCATATATCATGTTGTGTCTCTTTATCTATTCATCATAGTTACTCACATATTTTGTTCTTCATTGTTCATACGATTATCTTCTTGATATTATTATTCCGCACCAATCCAATCGACAAAATAGGTTCCTACAAGTGGTATCAGAGCGAGACCTTGAAGATCTCACGATTAGTTCAAGGGAACGATTCCGATTGGTTTATTATCTTGAAGATTTTTGTCATTTATGAAACACTACTCAACCTTCAGAACTGAAAAATACTATGTGAGTTATTTACTGTTTTGTTGGTGATGTTGCTAGAAAAATAAATATTTTGCTGCTACTATTCATTACATTTTGTTGTTGTTAAACCTATGTTATGGAGAAAAATATTTTTTTGTTGAAGAATATGAAGTTCCTTTTAAAAAGGTGGTGTTTGATATTGTTATCTCATGCAAAAAGGTGTTTAGAATAAGACAAAAATATGGTTATGGAGTAAAAGATTGAACAGAGGGTTATGAGTTCGGATTATATGACTTTTAGAAGTGTTTGGATAGTTATTTTGGAATGTACAAGTCATTTGAGTTGTGATACAATGCTTTTATGTATGTATTTTCCAAGATAAAATGGAGTTATGAATATGTTTTTCCTACATGATATGGTTTTTGGAGTGATTTTGGTATTTATCTTTCGAGATTACAAGTGACATCTGTTGGTTGTACAAGTATTAGAAGCCTTGATTGAAAGGTACATTTATACGACATGTACTTTAGGCTGCAGTCAAAATCTCGTTCTTTAAATGTACTTGCATGTGCGTGGGTTTTTGGCATGGCAACATCTCTCTATCACGTGTATTACATGCTCAAATCAGCCTCTAATCAGCTCCATTTATGCATGTTGATGATTGATTAAAGGCATTTAATGATGTCTGGAAATAAGGAACAACAATAAACATCTCAACGTCAGCAAGTGACGTCGACGAGACCACTCATCTCAAGCCACGCCATCAGCGCTTGAAGATCACTACACATGAGAGTAAAGCCAAGCTACCCGACCCCAATAATTGAAGAAAAGTCAAACTCTAAACCTTACTTTTCTCACCTGTGTATCCTGCCATCTGACAACCTTCTGCCACACGGATCAGCCCTTGTCGAATGTGGGCATTTAATGAGTCCCTAATGTTTGTCGGTTAATGAATGCCCACACAAGTAGGTCACGTGTTTTGAAGAATTGACTTTCTATGCTGTCAACCACCATCTTTAATTACTCTTTTTTCGCATCTGAATTTAGAGACCTAACATTTCCGAGATTCAAACGATAAGCATCATTCCAAGTGACCCCACCCACCTGCAGTCAATTCACTTTTTTGTCCATATGATTTCTGAGACCAAGCCTCTTGTTTGTCGCCTTCATACTCCAAGATGGACCCACCCTCATGGATCCAAATTTTCAAGATTTTGGTTTCACCCAGGTGAATCCACTTTGCTTTTAAACCATTTTTGATCCATTCATTTCAGATCCTTCTCTAGAATCCAATCTCGGATTCAGCTCTATCCTAAACCATGTAACAACCCAAATTTCCACTAATTTTTTTTTCATTTTAAATAACCAAAACATTTCCATAAGATATAAAATTCTGAACACATTTGTTTTCAAAATCAATAACATTAGATAAATTATTCATAAAATCAGAGTGTCCCAAATGAAACGCCAGAGAGTGCATGTTGTGCCATCACGCATGGCTCTTGCCCTTAGATCCTAAAGTACCTGAAACAACCAACAAACTGTAAGCTAATGCTTAGTGAGTTCCCCAGAGCATACCCAACATAATCCACATAACCACATAACCATATCAATCAGATAAGCCATGCATACAAACATATAAGGATGCCGTGGAAACCCTCCAAGGTCTTACTCCAGGATGTCGTGGGCTCCCCCAGGGTCTTATACCTACATGCAATGGGCTCCCCCATGGTCTTTACCTGGAGTGCCATGGACTCCCCCATGGTCTGATATCCAACTGCCACGGGCTCCCCTCGGGGTCTTTCATGTTAATGACACAGAGTCAACAAGCATACCACATATCATATAAACATAACTATCATACTAGATAACACATATATAAACATATAGGGATGTCGTGGACTCCTTCCAGGGTCTTACTCCAGGATGTCGTGGGCTCCCCCCAGGATCTTATACCTATGTGTCATGGGCTCCCCCATGGTCTTTACCTGGAATATCATGGGCTCCCCCATGGTCTTTACCTGGAATGCCATGGGCTCCCCCCACGGTCTGATATGCAACTGCCATAGGCTCCCCCCAGGGTCTTCCATGCCTAACCAATAAAGTACTAGCACATTCACATACATACTTGGCATATCAATAATGATTCGACAATAATCATCTCAACTAACTGAATGGGTCGACCTTGGTGCCTTCCACCCATTGGTATGGTGAGGAGACTCACCTCAAATGCGATTGTAGCTGAATAGGTCCAAGCTCCGAGTATCAGCTATGTCAATTCCCTAATCATAAACAACTCCTTAGATACAACTCAACCCTTCAAACCCTTAAAAGTCAACCCTGGTCAAAATCAAAGTCAACGCTCCGAGTTGACATAACTCGTCGAGTTTCCCATCAACTCGTCGAGTCTACCCCAAAGTCAAAATCGTGATATTGCGATCCAACTCATCGAGTTTTCCTACAACTCGTCAAGTTCCTCTGTTTTCCATCAGAATCGGGGTAACCCCAAACCAACTCGTCGAGTTCTTCAGTCTGCCAACCCACTTAATGCATTAAGCCCTTTTTCTCGAATCCAAAAGTTCCAAACTTCAGATCCCTATCCCTAGAGATGTCTAGAAGGGTAAAGTTTCCAACTTTACCCCTAAGGATCATCTAATAATCTCTAAATCCAAACCCTAGTTCCTTTAAGTAAGGTCTTGACTCATTAAGCCATTAAACTCTCATCCCATCGTCCCAAAACACAGATCTGATGTCCAAAGGTGGATAAATCACATAAAGTTTCTAACTTTACATCCATGCATGCTTGAAACACTCTCAAAGGTCCATTTTAGGCTTCATAGTGGACATATCACATGAATGTGACATGGAGGCTATTAAAGTTTGCAACTTTAATTCTCTAGAGGTCTTATAGAGGCCAAATCTACACCCTCAACCTCTGGAAACCTCTTTTCTTTGGACATCCAAGCCAAAGTCCCAAAACCAAGCCCTAAACTACAAAAGATGAGATCTAATAAGCTACATGTCAAGGTTATGACTATATACCTCCAAGATACATCCCTTAATGTAGATTTCTAGATCCAAGATCACTCCTTCAAGCTTGCTATTTCTCTCTTCAAGACTTCCTTCAAGAATCACTCCAAAACTCTCAAAACTCAATGAACAAGTAGAGAAAACGATCTAGGGTTTCTTCTAGGCAAGGGAGGTTGGTAAGGAGGCCAACCCTAGAAGTTAAGTCCTTTAAATTGGGTACAATGCCCGGAAAATTAGGGTTTTAATCCCCAACGTCAAATCGTCGTGTTGGGGCCTTCCAAATCGTCGAGTAGACCCTTAATCCCGCGTCCAAATAGATCCCTACATGACAAGTTGGAGCTCCCCAACTCGTCGAGTTCCAGCCCAAACCCTAAAATGTTGAGAAATAAATAATTACTAGATCAAGCATTACAAATCTCCCCCACTTGAACTAGACTTCGTCCTCGAAGTCTGCTGTTGCAAACAAATCCGGGTAATGCTCTCGCATCTCATCCTCCGGCTCCCATGTCCATTCCGAGCCTTTCAGGTGCTGCCATTGCACCTTCACTAGCTTCACCTCTTTGTTACGAAGAACCTTAGTTTTCTTATCCAAAACTATAACGGGCCTCTTAATGTAGTTCAAGCTCTCATCCACCTGAATGTCGTCCAAAGAAATAACCACGGCCTCGTCTATGACACACTTCCGAAGCTGAGACACATGGAAGGTGTTGTGAATCTGGATAAGCTCGTCCGGATGATCCAAACGGTAAACCACATTCCCCCCCCCCCCCCGGGCGGAAATCTTGAATGGACCAATATGTCGGGGCCCTAACTTGCCCCTCTTCCGAAACCTAATGACACCCTTCCATGGTGACACTTTCAGCAAAACAAAGTCTCCCACCTGGAAACCGAGATCCGAGCGACGCCGATCAGCATAACTTTTATGACGACTCTGCGCGACTTGCAGTCTGTCGCGCACCTACTGGATCAACTCGGTAGTCTTAAGCACCACCTCGGCGCTTCCCATGACTCAGTGCCCAACCT